TGAGTTATAAAAAATGTGGTTCGTTTTCTCGAACACAGGTTAAACGAACTCGTGTGGTTAAATTATTAAAATTTGAAAAATTTAAAATTAATTAGTGCAACTTTTGAGGTGGCGATGAACATTAGATTAATGATTCTTTTGGTTTTAATGGGTTTAGTTTGTTGATTAATTAAACTAATTACTTCCGCTTCTTTTAATATCATTAATCTCTCTTCTTCACCGCGGGAAGATCGACAGAGATGTACGATCATTCTTATAATATTCTGTAATTTTCTTCTCCAATTCTCTCCAGGTTCTTCCCTGATTTCTATTGCTCCGGCGAAGTTTCATCTAATCTTGATATGAAGATTCAGTGTGATGTCTGTGAAAAAGGCGACGCGTCAGTGTTCTGCACGGCGGATGAGGCGGCGCTTTGTAATCTCTGTGACCATCGTGTCCACCATGCCAATAAGCTCGCTTCGAAGCACCGCCGCTTCTCTCTGCTCCGCTCTGCTGCAGCGGAGGCACCTGTCTGCGATGTGTGCCGGGTATTTTGCCGAGATCTGATTCTTGTTGTTTTTGGGTGGATTGGATTTTGTTCTGTTTCTTGTTTGGTCTAATTTTGGTTTTTGAATCTGGTTTTGTTTAGGAGCGGCGAGGGTTCTTGTTTTGTCAACAGGATAGAGCGATTCTGTGTAGAGAGTGCGATGATCCAATTCATTCGGCTAATGAACTCACTATGAAACACGATAGGTTCCTTCTAACTGGGATTAAGCTTTCCACCACCGCTGCTCTGTACGCGCCGCCTCCCTCCGACGAGAAACCGATCAAAACTGGTCATCGTACTGGTTCTGATCACAAATCAAAGGGTTCAGTCAAGAAACCGACCGTTGTTCCTGCTGCTCCAGTAGGATGCACATCAAGTGTTTGCGTTAATGCCTCAACCAACATACCTCCAGCAGTGGCCATGAACAAGGGCGGCGGAGGTCAGATTCCGACAGGAGGCGGTGGCTCAGCCAGTAGCATATCGGAATATTTGATGGAGACACTTCCTGGATGGCACTTTGAGGATTTACTCGATTCCTCTGTTCCTCCCCCTTTTATGGAGGTTTGATTTATTCACTGTTACTGTGAAGAACTGATGTGGTTAATGATATTGATTGATTGATTGTGTTTCTTTTTCTTGTTTGCAGTGTGAAGGGTTGGGATTACCATTTGTGGAAGGTGATTTCAACAGTGGCCTTTCACCATCGGAGCGTTTGGAGCTTTGGGTCCCTCAGGGGCCGATTTATGGTTCAGGATTGACGATGAACAGTGGGGTGAAGGACACAAAGGATTTGGTAGTAAACTCATCAAAAGTCAATAGAGTTTGGGCAGATGACTGTTTCACTGTTCCTCAGATTACAAGTACAACAGCCCCATCTGCAGGCTTTAAGCGATCCAGATCTTTTTGGTATAACAATCACTAAACACCCTCGTTTCTTCTGCCCTTTTTTTTGTTCATCTGATCTGGGTTTGTTTATTATCATCTTCTTCTTCTGGTTTCTTTTACTTTTTGCTTCTGATCTGTAATTTTAATGGGTTCTGTTACACTTTGTTTAGGCTTCACCTCTACTTTACTGGGTTCATTCTCTGGTTTCTGTTACTTTTTGCTTTCAAAAGAAAAAAAAGTTGCAGCTGTAATATATTGGGTTCTTCTTCTTTCTCTTTTTTCTGTCTGGGCCCTTTTATTGTGTAATTTTTGACGCAGGGACTCTATAATGGCATGATATTGTCTACGGTGTGCCTCCCTCCAAAAATCTTTCCCCATCGAACAAAGAACATCATAGAGCTTCCTCTGAGCCTATAGAGCTCTCGAAGACTCTACTCCTTTAGTTGGAGCCCTCTAACAAATAACACTATAGAGTCTCCTCTGACCCTGTGGAGCTCTCAAAGGCTCAGACTTCTTTCTTCGGAGCCATCGAACAAAACACACCATAGAGTCTCCTCTGAGCCTGTGGAGCTCTCAAAGGCTCGACTCTTTTCTTTGGAGCCTTCGAACACCATAGAGCCTCTCCTGAGCCCATGGAGCTCTTGAAAGTTTGACTCCTTTCTTTGGAGTTCTCGAACAAAATACACCATTAGTTCGACATTTGAGTTACTTTTGACTAACACTTTCGAGTCTCACAACTTCTTTGTTCGACACTTGAGGATTTTATTAACACGATTAAGTTAAGGACATGACTTTGATATCATGTTAGGATTTCCGAATCTCTAATAGTACAATATTGTCCACTTTGAGCATAAACTTTTTGGTTTTACTATTGGCTTTTTCAAAAGACCTTATACCAACCGAGATAGTATTACTACTCTGTAAGCTCTTACATTTTTGTTCAGTGGGTATTACTTTTTGGGTAAATTTTCACCTGCAGTTCATGGGTCTTCTTTGGTACTATTATTTGCTCAAAACTGTAATTTCATGGAGTCATTCTCATTGTAAATTGAGTTACTGAAAAGTGCGTTGAACAAGCCTTGAATGTAGCCTTTGTAGTGGAAGTGCTTTTCCCAGCTTGCAAAGGCAACAATGGCGGCTTTCTATTAATATTATATTCTGATATTTTCTTCTCTTTCTCCCTAAATAAGCGTGCAAATTCAATTTAATTTATTCCTTATTTGATATATTATGTTTATTAGGGAACCATATATTATTACATAAATTACACATTAATTTTAAATGAATTCGTATAATATACTAGCCTACTGTTTAAGTCTACTATTAGTAGATATTGTTTACTTTGGCTCGTACCGTCGTCATTTAGGATTTCATAATTTACCTCTTCAAGGGACGCTCGAAATCTTACAATCTTGGCACATCGCTTGGTGTCTAATTCTAATACTATTTTTAATCACTAAAGTTCACTGCTAGTAGATATTGTTCGTTTTAGCTCGTAACCTATTGTCATCAGCCTATTTATTAGGGAAAATCGTATAGAACGAAATTAAAAAAATTAAAAAAAAATTATTGGTATAAATAATAAATAAATTAGTTATTAAATTGAGACATTGAGTTTTGGTTTCGAGTTGAAAAATCACTGTCTACAAATATTATTTTCTAGTCTACTTTTTACAAGATTTAATAAGCTAATTTAAAAATAATAGTTCTTAAAATTTTGTTTTATTTTTATAATTTGAATAATAATTCAAATGTTTTCTTAAAAAACAAACAAAATTTGAAAAATTAAAAACTAAATAATTATCAATCAAGAATTATATTTTTATAACATTTTTTTAGAATTTGATAAAAATTAAAATATATTTTTTTAAAAAATACAAAAATAGTTGTGAATAAATTATGAAATTGTGAACACAATTTTTTAATATGTAATTTTTTATTTTTTATTTTTAAAAATTAAATTTATAAATACTATTTCTCCCTCCAAGTTCCTGTATTTTGTTATATCTACTTATTATACATGTTTTCAAAATTAAAATAAAAAATAATTTTATAACCTTTTTTTTTTTTTTTTTTTTTTTTTTTTTTTTTTTTTTTTTTTT